GTAGGAACAGGAATCTTGGGGCTGGTGCTGTGGTCAAGCTGCAGCCTGCAATGCCAGCATCCCGTATGGGCACCAGTTCAAGTCCCAGCTGCTCTACTTCCTGTCCAGCTCCCTGCTAATGTGCCTGGGAAAGCAGCAGACGATAGCCCATGTGCTATCTTGGGAGACCCAAGAAGCAGCTCTGGGCTCCTGGCTTCAGCTTGGCACAGCCCCAGTCATTGCTCTTTGTAACTCCCTCTTTCAAATAAATAAAAATAAATCTTAAAAAAATAATAATCTGGGATCAGAGCAACCACAAACAACTTGGGTTCAAATCTCACCTCTGCCACATCCTAGAGTAAGCTCCAAGGTGTCAATTGACCTCTCTATACCTGAGTTTTCACATCTCCCTTTCTTCCCCTTAAAGATTGATTTATTGATTGATTGATTTGAAAGGCAGTATGACAGAAAGAGTTAGAGAAAGATCTTCCATCTGCTGACCCACTCGCTAAATGGCTGCATCCAGGTCTCCTGTGTGGGTAGCAGGGGCCCAAGTACTTGGGCCATCTTCTGCTGCTTTCCCAGGCACATTAGCAAGGAGTTGTATTGGAAGTGCAACTAGCACCTGGAGTAACAGGCAGCAGCTGAACCCACTGTGCCGTAACACTGACTCCTCCTTGTCTCTTAGAAAGAGTTAATATAGGAGGCTGGCACTGTGGTCCAGTGGGTTAAGCCATTGCTTTCAATGCTGGCATCCCATATCAGAGTGCAGGTTCAAGTCCTGGCTGCTCCACTTCTGATCCAGCTCCCTGCTAGTGTGCTTGGGAAGACACTGGAAAATGGCCCAAGTACTTGGGCTCCTGCCACCTATATGGAAGACCCAGATGGAGTTCTGGGGTCCTAGTTTCAGCCCGGCCCAGGCCTGACTGTTGTGGCCATTTGGAGAGTGAACCAGTGGATAAAAGATTCTCTCTCTCTCTCTCTCTCTCTCTGGCACTCTGACTTTCAAATAAATAAGCAAATCTTGGGGGCCAGCACTGTGGCATAGCGGACCAAGCCTCCGCCTGTGGCACCAGCACCCATATGGGTGCCAGTTTGTGTCCTGGCTGCTCCTCTTCCCATCTAGCTCTCTGCTTATGGCCTGGGAGAGCCCAAGTGCTTGGGCCCCTGCACCCACATTGGAGAACTGAAGGAAGCTCCTAACTCCCGGCTCTGGCCATTGTGGCCAACTGGGGAGTGAACCAGTGAATGGAAGACCTCTCTCTCTGCCTCTGCCTCTGCCTCTCTGTAGCTCTGCCTTTCAAATAAATCATAAAAAAAAAAAAAATCCCTCTCTCTCTCCCTCTGTCTGTAACTGTGTTTCAAACAAATAAATAAAATCTCTTAAAAAAAAAAAAAATGTACAGGGGTTGGCGCTGTGGTGCAGTGGGTTAAGGCCCCGGTCTACAGCGCCAGTATCCCATATGGATGACGGTTCGAGTCCTGGCTGCTCCACTTCAGATCCAGCTCTCTGCTATGGCCTGGGAAGGAAGTAGAATATGGCTAAGGTCCTAGGTGCCCTGAACCCATGTGGGAGACCTGGAAGAAGCTCCTGACTCCTGGCTGCAGATTGGCCCAACTCTGGCTGTTGTGGCCATCTGGGAAGTGAACAGCAGATGGAATAGTTCTCTGCCTCTACATCTGCCTCTCTATAACTCTGCCTTTCAAATAAATAAATAAATTTTTAAAAGTATAAGAACAAGCAAATCTTAAAAAAAATGAGTACCAATTCATACACTCGTTATGGGGATTAAATCACTTAATGCAAAGAAAGTGGTCAAAACGTGTGAGCTAATATCACCTTCTGTACCTCATGCCTGGTGTCTCCTTCATATGCCATATCTCATCCACAACTCGTGATAACTTCAGCTCACATCCTTCCCTCTCCATACCTTGTGGTCTTTCTTTGTATAACCTTGTGCTGCTATTTACACTACTATCTACTTCATTGGCTCAGTACTGGTGAGTTCTAATTTCACTGAGAGCATACAATACCATGCAGGCCTAACAAATAATGACATAAGGCTGTATTTGATGATTTGGAAAGATCTAGAAGATATACTAATAGGAAAGTGAAGAAAAAGGTATAGAAGAGCAGCTATATTATGTGTTTTTTAGAAAGACACTCTGTGTATGTGTGTGTGTGTGTGTGTAGGAAGAACATTGTGGTGGCCAATGACCCACATCCATGTCCCAATCCCTGGAATCTATAAATATGCTGCACTATATGGCAAAGAGAAACTAAGGTTGCAAATGAAATTAATGTTGCTAATCAGCTGACCTTAAAATAGATGATGTTAGGTTGTCTTTGCGTGCCCAATGTGATCACAAAGGGTCTTTGAAAGTGGAAAAAGGGAGCCAGCACTGTGGATAAAGCCACTGCCTGCAGGGCCAACATCCCACATGCACACCGGTTCGAGTCCCAGCTGCTCCACTTCCAATCAAGCTCCCTGCTAATGGCCTGGGGAAAGCAACAGAAGAATGGCCAAGTGCTTGGGCCCCTGCACCCGCATGGGAGACCTGGAAGAAGCTCCTGGCTCCTGCCTGCAGCCTGGCACAGCTGCAGCTATCTGCGGAGTGAGCCAGCAACTGGGAGACCTCTCTCTCTCTTCCTTCTTTTCTTCTTCTCCTTCTCTATAATTCTGACTTAAATAAATAAATCTTTAAAACAATCCAGGAATGCATCCAAGAAAAACACCTACTAAGCCCAGTCTGAGGAGTGTTTCAACACATCCATCAGTCCTATGCAGCCAGCTGCTTTGACGTGAGTGATGGGCACACGGGGTCTGTTGCCACTTAGCTCTCTGGAGCCACCTTTGTTCTCTATAAATACATTCCTTATCTCTTCCCAGAAATGCCCTCAAAATTAGTCCATAGCCTTCTTTTCAGTATACTCTGTCTCTGAAGCTGTTTGTAACCAATCAACTTCCAAAAGTATAACCTGCAACCTGTGAGAAATGTACCCCCACTTACCTTTTGGGGTCAAGTCAATGTAGTTCACTCTATGATGCTAAATGAAAATTTACTGGGGCCAGCACTGTGGCGTAGTGGATAAAGCTGCCACCTGCACTGCCAGCATTCCATACGGGCGCCAGTTTGATTCTTGGCAGCTCCACTTCCGATCTAGCTCTATGCTACAGCCTGAGAAAGCAGTAGAAAATGGTCCAAGTGCTTGGACCCCTGCGCCCGTGTAGGAGACAGGGAGGAAACTCCTGGCTTCAGATCGGTCCAGCTCTGGCCTTGGCAGCCATTTGGAGAGTGAACCAGTGATGGAAGACCTCTCTGCCTCTGCCTCTCTGTAACTCTGCCTTTCAAATAAATAAATAAAGCCTAAAAAAATAAAGAAAAGAAAATTTACTGTCATGGAACACACAAATCCTGACTGGAAATCGACCACTTTGGAACCCTTCCCAAGACTCATTAAGTCACTGGGCTTGTGTCTCCCAGGCCCAAGTCACTGATATTCTGCCCTGAATAGACTGTACATTAATCTTCTGGAAAGTCCCAAAGCTAAGGGAGGTGAAGACTCCCCAACTCTGCCCAGAAATGAAAACTGTCTACCCGGGAAAACCTGCTAGATCACGGGAAAGTCACCCTAAGTAATAAGACACTGCAGCCACAAGCACACCGCTGGGTTATAGCATCCGCGGCAACACTAGTCAGCTTCCAGCTGTCCTGCCTGCTCATTGTCCTCCAGGCCCCGTAAGCGCGGGTCTCAGCAGAACACATGTGTCTGAATACAACCCAGTAACCTTGACATTGTTGAGAGAAGCCCATTCAGTGTGGTGAGGGGTCCCACCTGCGTGCCAGCATGACACCTGTACCTTTGAGGACTTCAGAAGGACATACAAGGTGGGACGCCTCCCCACACTGAGTGGGCCTCTCTCGTAACAATGGAAAGTGGTAGAGATTGATCCAAGTGCTTGGGCCCCTGCACGTGCCTGGGAGACCTGGAAAAGGCTCCTGGCTCCTCGCTTCGGATCAACCCAGCTCTGGCCTTTGTGGCCATTTGCGGAGTGAACCAGTGGATATACGACCTTGCTCTGTGTCCCTCTTTCCGTCTGTAACTCTACCTCTCAAATGAATAAAAAAAAAAATCTTAAAAAAAAAAAAAAGAAAAACCATAAACTAGGGCCAACATTGTGATGCAGCAGATTAAGCCCCTGCCTGCAGTGCCAGCAACCCACCTGGGCACTGGTTCAAGTCCTGGCTGCTCCACTTCTGATCTAGCTCCCTGCTAATGTACCTGGGAAAGCAGTGGAGGATGGTCCAAATAATTGGGCCCCTGCAGCCTCCTGGGAGACCCTGATGAAGCTCCTGGCTTCAGCCTGGCCATTGTGGCCATTTGGGAAGTGAACCAGCAGATGGAAGACCTGTCTGTCTCTCCCTTTCTCTCTCTGTAACTCTGCCATTCAAATAAATAAATATTAAAAAAAAAAAACACTGTAAATCAAGGCACACATGTGAGAATGAGAAGCCACAGTGATCTGAGGTCCTAGCCTCAGGGTGTTGGGAGTCCTGATGTCACAGTATGAGGAATGAGGTGTTGAGATGGAAAAAGTGAAAAGGTTGGAAACCAGGCAGAGTTTAATTTGTGCCTATTAGTGAGTTTAGAAATGCAATAAATCAGGGCTGTCACTGTGATGAAGTGGGTAAAGTCGCTGTCTTCTGTGCCAGCATCCCATATGGGCACCTGTTCAAGTCCCCTCTGTTCTGCTTCTGATCCAGCTCCCTGCTGATACACCTGGGAAGCATCGGATGAGTCCTTGAGTTACTGCCCACCCACATGAGAGACCCAGTTGGAGTTCCAGGCTCCTGGCTTTAACCTGGCTCAGCCCTGGCTATTGTGGCCACTTGGGGATTGAACCAACAAATGGAAGATTTCTCTCTTTCAAATAAATAAGTCTTTTTAAAAAATTAAATTTACTTAAGTGGTCAGCCAAAAATATGGTTATTATTACTATTAGTTGTACAACAATGAATCATTGAAAAACCATTAACTTTATTAATATAGACATTTACAAATATAAAGTGCATCGTGCTGAAATAAGCAATTTTCTGAAGTTCATTGGTAACCTTACCTTCCAATTGTCCAATACGGAAAATGATTTCATTTCTATTATACTGCGGCAATGAAACAAGGCCTCTTCTAACTTCTACCTTTAACAAGATTCACGTAATTGCAGCCTTCCAAAATGTTTTGGAGCTATAGCTATTACCAAGCTGCATTTCACACTGTCCACTGTTTTATTTGCATTGTCTATCATTATAGAAGATAAACAATGATATGCCAGTGAACGCCCCGTCACCTAGGCAGAAAGGCTCACAACTCCCACACCTCTACACCACAGTGCTCCAGAAAGGGAGGGGACAAGTCAGCTCCTTTCACCACCCTCCACCCCCTTCCAGGTCTCCGTTCTGCAGAAAAGCAATCTTCCCATCTAAAAAGTCAGGTGTTCTACAAGTGCAGGCGGCACGACAATCTCACGGACGTCAGTTTCTCATTATTTGCCAAAGACGCAAACGCACAAAACCCAGATGTCTTGTCTCTGTTCAAGAAAGATTGCCTAAGATAGGAAGTTGAGCCCCTAAGAGAGCAAGTTATAAATTTCATATTGCCACAAGAGCTCCTGGGGAGGCTGACTGAAGACACAGGGAGGCTTGAGTAGGTTTGGGGAAACCCAACATTACAATCTCTGGTCAGCGACGAAGCTGGGAGGGACATCTCAGGCTTCCACGGAGCCACGGAGGACTGGGATCCCAAGTGAGGGGTCAGACAACACGTTCAAACTCTGTAGAAAGTAGACAGCAGACTCTATTATTTCTAGAATTGCCAAGTCAACTAACTGACCAGTTTCACAAGTTGACGGATCATAAGGTAGACAGGAAAAAGCACAACCTACAACCTCTCTTTCATTTGGCACCCAGAAAAGACCTTTGTAAGAGAAGAGTGCAGCAACTCCACAAGGCTAACTTTCTGATCTTAACATTCTACTCATACAAAGGATATCCCACAAGTCTTGGAACAGTTTCCTGCTTTAACAAGTGCAGGAGTAGAAATTTAGCAAACTTGCAAAAAAGAAAAAAAAACACATTTCAAGGTTTAATGGGTTACATCTATTTCTCCAGTTTGGCGACTTTTGATAATACACATTTAGGTTTTCTTAAGTACCTGTGTTTAAAAATGACAAGTGCTAAGTGCTTTTAAGTAATCAAAACTTAAAACTGCACTAAGACTTCTGGAATATCCTCTCTGAATTCCCGCCCTAGCTCATCGCCTCTGATGACTGACACTTAGACCTTGAAATGGATTAAACTGCTTTCATTAGACATTCTCTTCCTTTCCTGCTATCCTCAGAGAATCTTACTCTGTTACAGCTCCCCCCCATACACCATTAGGGATGTGATTGGTTTTGTGAAAAGTACAAAGCACACAGTTCTCAAATTCTCATGTGACAGCAACAGCTCTCAGCCTCAATATTGATGTCAGTATAACTGAAAATTATTCCGGACAATACTGTGACAGAGAACATCTAAATGGTCATATTTTAATAAATTTCCACAGATTCACCCAGTTAAAAAGACCAGTCTTCAGTCCGGGTGTTTTCTCTCCTTCTCCCTGACTGGTATGATTTGAATTTTGATCTGCGACTTCTTTTGCTTTTATATGGGTCTCATATACTTGCTGGGCCCTGACAATTTCTTTGTGTGCATCAAAATGGACCTTTTGCCTGGTCAGGATGGGAACAATTAAATTAAAATCACTAATTCGCTTGTTTAGTTTTCTGATGTTTTCTTGAAACTGCTCACAAACTTGGTCCCACTGTTTGTGTTCAGTCGGTGTCATTGGATTTCCAAGCTTTTTCCTGGAATCTAAAATTGCCTCTCTGAGTTGCTCAATGGTATCCTTTATTTCCTTTTGCATCAGAATCCACTCTGGTTGGTATCCATTATCTATTAATATTCTGTTCAGGTTGTGAGTCATGGGATCAATATATGAACAGCCAGAAAATTTTTTTAAAGGTTTTCCTTTCCCACTGAGATTGTCAAAGTCTCCTTTCGCCATTGATTCCTGAATGAGGTCCTCCACTAAACGCTCGATTGCTTGAGTTATCTTTTGTTCTCTGCTGTGTCTTACATCTCTAACGGTCACACTGTCAGCAAAATACTGGCTTTGTAGTTTCTGCTTTTGATACTCCATCACTTGCTCAGTTGCTCGGTCTGCCCTAAATTGCCTATACTGTTTTTCTCGTTGACTTGGAGTCCCAAAACCAATGCCTTCGAAACTTAAATAATGCCGGTGCTGGGGTGTCTTATATTTGAATTTTTCTTCTTCTTCTTCGGCTTTTTCTTCAATTTTACTCTGTCTGGCATCTGTTTGTTCTATCACATGGGAAAGCACTTTCCTATAAGCTTCTTCGATCCTTATAAATGTGGCAGAATCAGCGGTATCAGAGCCGCTGTCTGGATGGTATCGCTTGGCAAGCTTTCGGAAAGATTCCCTGACGTCATCTGCAGAGCACCCTTCATCCACGTTCAGCAGCCTATAATATTCTCCGATCTTCTTTTTGGACTTATGGGTCGACATCATTCTATTTTGAATGAGACAAAGATCTGGATGCATTTTCACTCGATTAGGAATTACGGAAGCACTGATCAGGTGAGATCTTAGGATCTGAGCCATCATCACGCACGCTGTTACTGTACCCAGAGTTCTTCCTAGCAATGATCTATAAAACGACAACAAATACAGGTTGAACACAGCTGTATTACAGGTTCATTTCTTATTTTCGGCGATAAGGGAAAAGACAGGATGTGAAACTCCAAGTCCAGAAGGAGTGGTGTTTTCTAAGGCTGTTGCCAAAACGCTTTTTAAGATTTATTCATTTTATTTGAAAGCCAAAGTTACACAGAGAGAGAAGGAGAGGCAGACAGAGAGAGGTCTTCCATTCGCTGGTTCACTCCCCAGTTGACCACAATGGTCACAGCTGAGCTGATCCGAAGCCAGGAGCCAGGAGTTCCCTCTGGGTCTCCCACACGGATGCAGGGGCCCAAGCACTTGGGTCATCTTCTACTGCTTTCCCAGGCCAGAGCAGAGAGCTGGATCAGAAGTGGAGCAGCTGGGACTCAAACTGGTGCCCATATGGGATGCTGGCATTGTAGGCAAAAAGCGGCTTTACCCACTTCCCCACAGCGCCGGCCCATCACCAAAACTCTTAGAGCTGCACCTCACTCGTGTTCAATGAATGGCAAGTGAGGATGTTTACCATTCCTATTGTGATGTAATCCGGGTTCTACTCACAAACCGCGGAATTTGAGAGCTGGCAAGTTCAGAGGTCATCCGGTCTAATCTGTGCGCTTTAATGTAGGTCCTCACGGCTTAGCAACCTAACCGAGTCCCGTAACAATGGTAAGTTAAGCTTCCGACCGAGGGCCACATCCCATATGGGCGCCGGTTCGAGTCCTGGCTGCTCCACTTCTGATCCAGCTCCTGCTACTGTGGCTGGGAAAGCAGTAGAAAATGGCTCAAGTCCTCGGGCCCCTGCACCCACGTGGGAGACCTGGAAGAAGCTCCAGGCTCCTGGCTTCCACCTGGCCCAGCCCTGACCGTTGCGGCCATTTGGGGAGTGAACCAATGGATGGAAGACCTCTCTCTCCCTTCTGTTTGTTACTCTGCCCCTCAAATAAATAAATCTTTAAATAAATAAGATGTAAGCAAATGTGAGGACTGGGGCTTGTCTAGAAACTCCACCAGCACCAAGACTGCTCAGGCAGCGGACCACGGTCTCCACCGCCCAAGGGTCTTCTCACAAAGCAGACTTTCGGACGACACGGAGCCTCGCACGGTATGCACCTAGGCTGGCCACTGCACGGAACAGAGTCAAGTGTCCAAGCGACGCGCCGGTCGTCAGGCAGGAACCTCTGGGCGCTGGGAAAACCAAGCGGAATGGCGAGCGTGCTCGCCACTACCAGCACTACCACGGTCTGGGAGGGAAGAACGACTTGGAGGGTACGCAGGCAGTGAACGCGAGCGGCCTCGCCGGAATCGGGATTCTCCAGTGTCAACGTCAGAGCAGCTCCCAGGCACCCTTATTCTGTGAGCTGGGACCAAGGGCGTTTAGATCCGGCCGGGATGTGGGTGCTTGTGCCTACTGCGGCCCCAGCCGGGGAATGTCCATCCCGACCCGGACACGCCCCGCCCGGCCTCCGACTCACCTTCACCGGCTAGGGGAAGGGGCTCCACGGCGCCGGCCAGGCTCCGCCTCTGCGCATGCGCACGCGCCACGCCCTTCGCTCCCCAGGCGCTTCGGGCGGCCGCCGCCTTCCTTGGACGCGACCAACTGACGTCTTACAGAGGGCACGCCAAGAGGTGCAGAAGGCAAAAGTCGAAGCTGATTGGGACAAATAACTTGCTCTGCCAGAGAAACTGATACTTTCTTTTAATACGTTGGCAGGGCACCGGCGGGCCACGTCGTGAGCCTCGGGTCTACCCCGGGACAAGCAGCTCCACCCCCTCCCCACCCCCGAGCGGAGGTGGTTCGGCCGATTGGAATTGTGGGAGATGTAGTTCGCAGGAAGGAGCGGCGCGCGGCGACCTCCGCGCTGCGCCTCCTGGCAGGGACGTGGAGGCGTCGAAAGCGCAGCCGCGGGCAGGCTGGTATCTGTTGGGGCTTGTTGTGCAGTGTGCTGGCGGCAGGAGTGTTTGAGACGCTTAGGTCTTTGTGGTTCGGAGGGTGAACTTGTCTTGGGGCGCTGAAGACAGCCGGTTCCCGGAAAGGGACCCACACAGGCTCTTCCGGGTTTGCAGACGCGGTTCACCTGCGCGGAGAGAGGGGCGCCCGGGCTCCCCGAGCTGCTGAAGGGAAACCCAGGCTCAGAAACTCGGTCCGTGAGGACCTCACCAAGTACCAGAAGTAGGGGCTGGCCTTTCGCGGCTTCGGAGACGCATGTTGGTCAGTTACCGTCTGTGTAGCTGCACGAAGAGCTGTGAATTCTGATTCAGAGTAACGAGCAGTAAGCATGGACAAACTTGGGGGGCCAGCGCTGCACCCCAGCGGTTAGAGCCAGGTCCCGTGTGGACCCTGGTTCCAGTCCCGGCTGCTCCACTTCCGATCCACCTCCCTGCTGACGAGCCTGGGAAAGCAGCGGAAGATGGCCCAAGCTTGGGCCCCTGCACCCACGCAGGAGACCAGAAGAAGCTCCCGGCTTCCCCAGGCTCAGCCCGGGTCCGTCTTGCTGCCCTTTAGGGAAGGGACCAGCGGAAGGAAGAGCTCTCCCTCTCTGTTGCTCTAACTCTGTATTTCAAATACATAAATCTTTTAGGTAAAGTTACAGAGAGGCAGAGGTAGAGAGAGAAAGAGGTCTTCCATCCCTGGTTCACTCTCCAAATGGCCACAACGACCAGAGCTGCGCCGATCCGAAGCCAAGAGCCAGGAACCTCTTCTAGGTCTCCCACGCAGGTGCAGGGTCTCAAGGACTGGGCCATCTTCTGCTTTCCCAGGCAATAGCAGAGAGCTGGATCAGAAGTGGAGCAGCCGGGACTCGAACCAGCGCCAGTATGGGATGCTGGCACTAAAGGCCACAGCTGTACCTGGCTTTACCCATTACATCACAGTGCCGGCTCCCATCAAGGCCTTTAGTAGGAAGTAGTCTTTTATAATTTATGCTTGCATAAGGCCCAGTTGGAATTTTTTATCCAAAAACATGAGCCATGAACAAAGAGGAGTATTTTAAGATTCGTTCATTCATTCATTCATTCATTCATTTGAAAGGCAGAGTTACAGAGTCAGAGGCAGAAAGAGAGAGCGAGCAAGGTTTTCCATCCGCTGGTCCACTCCCTAGATGGCCACAATGGCCAAAGCTGCACAGATCTGAAGCCAGGAGCCAGGAGCTTCTTCCGGGTCTCCCACATGGGTGCAGGGGCCCAAGCACTTGAGCCACTTTCCACTGCTTTCCCAGGCCATGGCAGAGAGCTGGATTGGAAGTAGAGCAGCCGGGACTCGAACCAGCGTGCATATGGGATGCCGGCGTTGCTGGCAGTGGCTTTACCGGCTCCCTTACTTGGACGGCTCCATCTGATTGGATAATCCAATACTACATGGCAGCCACAGAAGCTGATACAGTACTGCACATGTGTACATAGTTACTGACGATTTTAACCCAGCCTAGCAAGGGTTAACACCATCCCTCTGCTCACAAGCAGGAATCCAGGCAAGCAAATAACAACCACATTTCATTCTTGATGATGGGCTCCTCCCTTCTGACCTTGGGAAGGCTTCCACCGCAGCGCGAATCATGTCAGGTAGCAACAAGTTTAACTAGAAGACCATGGCCTCTGCCACGGTTCTGTTCCCCCGCCACGGGTATGACTTGGCTTTCCCATTCTCTGTCCATAAATACACTTTTTTCTGAGTCGTTTAAAGTTGCTCCTGTAGCTCAGGTCCCTTTACCTTCAGATTTTTAGAGTTCCCTTCTTCAAAACAAGGACATTCCTCACTGTTATCAAATACTGCAAATTGAACGTCGACACAGTGTTATCTAAGCAGCAGCATGGTATTCTGTTTTCAGTGATAGTCCTGATGTCCTTCACGGCGACACAGAGGGACGTCACCAAGGCCAAGGAAAATAGGGCTCAGAGGTCAGAGTGCTGCAAATAATTTGTTTTTATTGTACTGGGGAGCAGACACTCAGAGATCCCAAGTGCTGACTTAACCACTGTTTCAAATGCTGGCCCCAGTGCAAAAACATCTATGAATACAAGAAATTCAAAAACTGGGCACTGGGACCTGCACTGTGGCACATCGGGTTAAAGCCCTGGCCTGCAGCGCCAGCATGCCACGTGAGCACCGGTTCAAGTCCTGGCTACTCCACTTCCCATCCAGCTCCCTGCTAATGCACCTGGGAAAGCAGCAGAGGATGGTCCAAGTGCTTGGGCCCCTGCACCCACGTAGGAGTCCTAGAAGAAGCTCCTGGCTCCTGGCTCTGGATCAGCTCAGCTCTGGACATTGCAGCCATTTGGGGAGCAAACCAGTAGATGGAAGACCTCTCTCTCTCTTTGTCTCTACCTCTCTCTGTAACTCTTTCAAATAAATAAAAATAAATCTTTAAAAAATAATTTTTAAAAAACCTGGGCATTACGGGAAAAACTATGCATGAATTTTAAAAACCTTGGATCAAAAAATTGTTTAATTTCATTTATTCACTAGCTTTCTGAAGTACTCTCATAGACTTACTTCAAAGATTAAATTTAGCAAGGTGGACTTTTGTGGGGTTGTGATGCAGTGGGTAAAAGCCACTGCTTGGGACACTGGCATCTCATACCAGGAGTGCCAGGTAAAATCCCGGCTCCTCTGCTTCTGATCCCGCGCTCTGCTACTGCACCTGGGAAACAGCAGAACAGCAGGTGATGGTTCAAGTACTTTCCTGCCATGCACATGGAAGACCCGGATGGAATTCCTCTCTCTCTCTCTCTCTCTCTATTATTTCAGTTAATGTTGAAGGTTATGACATGATTAAAATCAACATGATTAAATCCCTATCATTTTGCACCAAGGTAGCAGTTACTACCTCAAGTTCATCAATAATCTTTCACGTAAGGAAAGATTTAAATGGATGTATATTGGATTAGATATATGTGAAACTTCCCAGTTTAGAACATCTTAGGATTCTGTTCTCTCACAATACAGTTGAGCATTTTGCAACAGGTTTCCTCCATAAACATGGTAGACAGTTGTTACAAACAAATCCTAATCATTGTGTTGTTGAGTGGAAAATAGATTTGATACTTTTTAAATGCCTTTACTTTATGGTTATTTCTTTTTAAGATTAATTTTTATTTATTTGAAAGTCAGAATTACACAGAGAGAAGGAGAGGCAGAGAGGTCTTCCATTCAATAGTTCACTCCCCAGTTGGCCGCAACGGCCAGAGCTGCACCCATCTGAAGCCAGGATCCAGGAGCTTCTTCTGGGTCTCCCACGTGGGTCCAGGGGCCCAAGGACGTGGGCCATCTTCTAGTGATTTCCCAGGCCATAGCAGAGAACAGGATCAGAAGTGGAGCAACCAGGACTCGAACCGGCGCCCATATGGGATGCTGACACTGTAGGCGGAAGCTTTACCCGCTACACCACAGCGCCGGCCCCCTCTATGGTTATGTTAAATATTCACTGAGTTCCTCAAGAATTGTGACCCTGGCCAGCGCCACAGCTCACAAGGCTAATCCTCCGCCTTACGGCGCCGGCACACCGGGTTCTGGTCCCAGTCGGGGCACCAGATTCTGTCCCGGTTGCCCCTCTTCCAGGCCAGCTCTCTGCTGTGGCCAGGGAGTACAGTGGAGGATGGCCCGGGTGCTTGGGCCCTGCACCCCATGGGAGACAAGGAGAAGTACCTGGCTCCTGCCATCGGATCAGCGCGGTGCGCCGGCCGCAGCACGCTAGCTGCGGCGGCCATTGGAGGGTGAACCAAAGGCAAAAGGAAGACCTTTCTCTCTGTCTCTCTCTCTCACTGTCCACTCTGCCTGTCAAAAAAAAAAAAAAAAAAAAAAAAAAAAGAATTGTGACCCTGTGAAAGTAATCCTTGCCCTTTGTGCTTCCACAGCTCCTGCAATGAATCCACACTTTTGAACTAAGCCCTTATCTCTAGTGCCTTTGATATCAAGCTTATCAGGTCCCAGTCTCTGCCCCTCGGCTTGTGGTTAGTCTGGTTTCACTCTGAAGATTACAAGTCTACTCCTTGCTAAGGAATATTTCACTAAGAGAGTGGTGTCAGGGTCGGATCAGCCCCTGAGACCCTAGTCACAGCCTCAGAGTTCAACTCTCACCCGTGTGGTTAACATCCTAACCCTAGACTCTCTTTTGAGACACTTCACAGGAGGCTGTGATCCATGAGTAATAACGAATCTACCCACAGACCCCAGATGGACTGAGGCCCACTTTGCCATCATGATGTCTTTTTTTAAAAAGATTTATTTATTTATTTGAAAGTCAGAGTTACACAGAGAAAGAAGGAGAGGCAGAGAGAGAGAGGTCTTCCACCTGCTGGTTCGCTTCCCAGATGGCTGTAATGGCCGGAGCTGGGCCAATCAGAAGTCAGAATCCAGGGGCTTCTTTGGGGTCTCCCACGTGAGTGCAGGGACCCAAGCACTTGGCCATCCCCCACTGCTTTCCCAGCTGCATTAGCAGGGAGCTGGATCAGAAGTTTAGCAGCAGGGACT